TCCGACCAATCAGCGTGACGCGACTACAACCTTATGACGTCAGTGAGTCGGTCTGTGTGTAGACAAAGATGGCGGCGCCCTGCCGAAAGAGGCGGCATGGATCGCCAAGTCCAGATGAAAATCTTGAAAATCCTGCTTGCTGTATGCAGATTCTTGATCAGTACAGCGAGAGCGCCTGTGTTATAACTCGAGCACGATAGGACACGTTCAGGAAAACTGCGAAAGAGTGAATATCACTGAAAGGGACAGAGAGCAATGTCGTGTTGCCAAACAAGGAGGAGGAAGAGAGCCGGGATCCATGTTAGGCTGACGGCTATCCCCTCCAGACCAGCAGGACCGTCCTCCTACTCTCCAATGTCCGTTCCCTCCACACCAAGCTGGACGAACTACGTTTGCTGAGAGAAACCCGCAGAGAGTGGAGGGACTTCTGTGTGTTTGCTTTAACAGAAACATGGCTCTATTACAACATCCCAGACGGACATACAGCTGGAGGGGACGACATTATTCCAGGACAGACAGACAGACAGCTAGCTCTGGGCAGCATCTGCAGCTTCACCATCGTCACACCATCATGTGTGTCTTTGTGTCCCTGAAGACCTACCAGGACCTGAAGAGGTTCGCCGTGCATGGACGCAGCGCCCCCTTCAGGAGGCAGCGAAAGTGAACGTTTAGTGTCCCAGATGTGTATTCCGCAAAACTTACTCATTAACTGATCCTGAAGAAACGCTCTGTCGTCTTGCCTGTACTGCTGTGCATGTACAGCAACATGACAATAAACTTGATTTGATTTGATACACACGTTGTACAGCGAGTACAATGAACTGGAAGCCCGTCCCCGCCACCATCCTTTCTGTTACAAACGTCTCACGAGCAAAAGACAGTTGTTCTATGCCAAGCAAAGACGAGAAAAACAAAAATCAGGTGGTACTGGTGAGTAGGCCTACAATCGTATATGTGAAAAAAGTCTTTTTTTGTAGTCTGTGTGTGTTTAGTTCGCCTGCTGCTGGCCCTGTCTCTGGCCGAGGACAACACAACAGCTCGTCTGATTTTTGATTATTTAGGCGAATATGGTCAAAGCACATCAGACAATGGAATTCATCTGATCATTCCCTCAAATTTCTTGTGTAGCCATTCACTGTCAATAAGTCCTCTTCCCCTCTTGGATGGAGGATAGGGCAGGCTGATTACATTTTTCAAAATAACTACGTTTGTAAGATTCCAAACATTCATCTATTATAATAATTGCTGATTCTATAGTTAATAGCAATCTAGTTCAATTAGAGGTACAATCAATGTAATTTTAAGAAATCACACAAGACAAACTTTTGTGTGTCAACATTCCTTCTGCCATAGCAAAAAAAAGTAATAATAGTAATAGCAGTAAACAGTAATAGCCCTATCACTATCCAGTTGAAAAAGGAAATAAAAAAGGGGATCACTGGTGAATAATTCTGTTCTACAAAGCTGCAGTTACTGCAGGATCATTTTGCTTTGAGTATTTGATGTAATCTGCACCATCAGCAGTAGGCCATGGCTGGAGTATCCATGAGAATCAACTCTCCATCAGTTGGATGACTAATGATCCTGCTCCTAGAGAGCTGCTGAAGCTTATTAGCTGTAAGTATAAAACAGGAGAATGTGCTACAAAACGGTGTTCCTGTAAATTTACAAACCTGAATTGTACAGAGTTATGTGGGTGCAAGAACTGTCAGACTGATTCCAGAACAGCGAGCCGAGAGCACATTCCTGACAGTGACGACAGTGATGCTGATTATTCAGTTTAGATATAAAGAAATTGAAACAGGAAGAGGATATAAATTGGATATCTCTTTCGTTTTTGACTGACTGGTTGACATTGTGACCAAAGTAAATTAACTGTAGCACCCCCTGAAAATGAGCTGTAACACGTGTAATTAATATTTGATATGATACTAAATTAGAAATATTTATGATTTAGTGTCTGGATGAATATTTTCTGTAATTGAAATTTGAAATCATTCCCAGTGAAACTATTCTGTCAGTTTTATATTGTGGACAGTGAAATGCAGTTTGAGCAGTTGTCTTGATAAATACTTTTTATATTTGATATCTAAAATAATGCCCATTGAGGCTATTTCATCAGTGATATTTTGTGCAGAGGGCAGGTAGCTCCAGATATTACCAGATCTTTGGTATAGATTATTGTGTTGCTTATTAATTTTGTTTATATTTTTCTACAATGGACCCAAGAGTCTGAACTTGAATAATTAAAGAATGTTTGGAACTCATTTGAAGCAATTTCTTATTCTTTTTTGTTTATAAAATCTAATCTGAAATGTTGTAGAATTAGGTCCCCTTGTGTGCTTGTTTCAATAGGACAGTTTTTTGAAATTCTGACTTTTTCAAAATATTTTTTCTTTACAACCAGCGCTCCTGTTCACTTAATATTCCACATACTGAGCATTTTTGGGATTGTCTATATAAGTGTCACGTTTGAAGTGTATGGCCTTGTTACTGTCTGAGCTAACTGGAGTGAAAAATGCTATTCGAGGCTAAAATGTCAAATTGTTCACGGATTTTCCAACTTTGGAAGACGATTACTCAATAACTGCAGGGAGCGCGCTTGTGGAACTTTATGTGGAAGAAGTTCAACTATTTTACTTGATAAAAACCACAATTAAAAGTATTCCCCACGATACAGGAACGGAAGTCAATTTCTAGGCACTTTCTGAGAGCTAGCCTAATAGCTAATGCTGATTAACTAAAACGTTTAATAATGCTCACTAGCAGTTGTTCACCATTTTACAACCAATCTGATGGATGTGTTTGGAATTGTGCTTATAATTTCCATTCATGATCAAACAAGCAGTCAGTTACATGATAAGTTAAATGACAGAAAATTATAAGGCAGTTAATTTGATGATCAATCATTTGTTCCTGTCATTGTTCAAGCAGAAGTAAGAACAAGGTATCTTTCATTATTCTTCTGACATTTTCTGAGCAAAGGGATTCACGTATCCGAGAGTAAAGCTGAACAGCCTTTTATCAGACCAAAATTAAAATCAGCTTCTAAATGTGTGATTGCGTGAAAAGGCATGTTATGAATAATGACAGTAAGACACACTCCTTGTCCAGATGTATGAGCGTCACTGTCACTACAATGGTCAGTGCATGTCTTTGAGTGTGTGCAAGATACTCACAATAATGAGATTTGGTCTGTCACAGTGGCAGGTTGCCTGTCTATATGCTTTAAGGCAGCGGTCCTCAACCTTTTTTGCACCACGGACCGGTTTTAAGCAAGAAAATTTTCTATGGACCGGTCATCACGCACATAACAAAGAAATTGTATTTTTTTGTTCGACTGATGGCTTCGTTTAACGGATAAAAACTGACAGTCAAGTGCGAGAAACAAGCGCAGACGGATGCAACGGGAAGACGAGCTAGTCATTTTTCAAACCAAAGCACCCTGCAGTCTCTGCTGGAAAGAAAAAATAAACCAATAAACTGTTTTTTCTTTTCTTTCTGTGCGGCCTGGTACCAAATTACCCACGGCCCGGTCCCGGTCCGCGGCCCGGTGGTTGGGGGCCGCTGCTTTAAGGCTTGCATTTCTGTGTGATATTTGGCCGAAAAAGAGTTTCTAAATGGAGGGAGGCTCAAGGAATACTAATAAATAAGGCCTGGGAGAAGATGAAGAGGGGAACACATAAAAGATTCCAGGATATGTGTGAAGTGAGATGAGTAAGAATCCCGTAAAAGAATCAGAGCCAACAAGTAAGAATCCCCAAGTGGCGGAAAGGGCACTCTCTCTTTTCCCACTTCTCTTCTTCCAAGTGTGCTTTGCCCAGTGTTGCCATGGCAATGCTGAGTCTTCCACAAGCTGACCACATGCGCACACACTCACACACTCACACACTCACACACTCACACACTCACACACTCACACATACAGTAGGTGTGTACACAACTGCGCACATGTACTGTAGCACCTGATCAGCCACATGCACGGATTTGGACAGATATTGTATGGCAAACACACAACCCACGATACAAGTCTCTGCTGTTGGCTGATAATAAACACATTCTAGCTCCGAGAGGCAGAGAAATTGCTCCCTTGGCATTAGTGCACATTTGTGTCATATTTCTGCTACTTGCAGGTAGACACATTCACTGATTAATCAGTTCTCAGCAATGTCATAAACGTCTACTGTTGAGTGATCTTTTTTCAAGCAAATGCTCTTTGGTTCCAGCTTTTTAAAAGTTAAGATTTAATGGCCGTCTTGATTTTCTATGATTGTAAAATAATATTTTTGTGGTTTTAATTATTCATTTATAATAATATCAATGTGAGTTCTGGGAAAGCCATTTTTGAAAACAGTTTTCTCAAAAGTAATAAGTGAGATCGTAATGGACAAAAAAATACTGAAAAAAAAGTACTGGTTGACACCTAAGACACATCGTAATAATAATCCTGTAGGAAACCAATTTCATATGTTCTGTTAAAAAACGACATTGCATGCTCCGTCTGCTGTTTATAATCCACTGGCATGTGTGCTGAACCAGAGAAATACACGGCTCCAGATGTACAATTACAGATTGCGAAGGTTCGAACTGCATGCCTGAAATAAGAACATCGACATTTGATTCCATCCATTTAATCTCCTGCTCTCCCACACAGATGAACCCTTTCACCTGCTAGCTGGTTAATTATCACTCGCAGCTATTTCAAGTGTTTACATTGGTCGCACTGCTTTGAAGGAAAGAGAATCTCATTCATTGACTACATCACAGAACAAACAGTATAGATTGTTTGTCCTCAAAACATGTTTAGCTGAAGACTTGAGAGCCTCTACTCCAGGGTTGTTGTTTTTTGTTTTACTGTATGAAGAAACACAGCTATACCTGGGATACCAACATTTATTTTTAAAGTGCTCGCATAGATTAAAATATTCTAACATTGTTATAAAATGTAACAATACCAACTACTGCTAGATAAGAATCCCTAAATCATTTGTACTGTAACAAATATTGGGATAAATAAACTAAACATATAAAAAATCTTTTCCTCTGCCTCTCTTTAGCCCCCAGATAAGGAAGGTGGTCTGCCCAAGCAGGTAGGCAACAAGACGGAGTGCGGCCTACTGGGATTGGTCTTGGACCTGAAGCGGGATTACCAGCCAATAAGAAACCAGATTCCAGAGGAGAAGCTTTACAAAGTCTACACCTTCAACTCCGTCAGGAAGTCCATGAGCACCGTCATCAAACTGCCTGATGGGAGCTTCCGGATGTACAGCAAGGGAGCCTCTGAGATTGTACTCAAAAAGTAAGATTGGTTTTCTGAATACAATTAAATGATTTTGATAACGGTAGCAGGTAGCAGGTAACAGATGTAAGATCTCACTACATGTTTACCAAATGTGTAGCCTTTACATCATGCACTTGAGGGCACAGCCTATTGCGCAGACTCTGTGCGATTGGCGTGGGCTGAGTTTCCTCTAGAAGGTCTCGAAATTGTGTCATTTTACCATGTGTAACAAAGAACACACCATAATAAATGAGTAACATTGAGAAAAGCATGAGAGGCAGCTATCAAGCTTCCTTTACTCACTTCAGGAATAAGCCAAAAGATTTACAACAGTAAAGTAAAACCACTTACATTTAAAAAAACAATTGTACGTTTCTTAGATATTCTATGTGTAATCTACTTAGCACATGTAGTACAAACACAGGTAAAGCTACATATAGCCTAATTTGAGGGTCATTATATGAAAATGTAAATGCACATTTTTGCTTTATTAACACAAATACTAAAATCCAATTTGCACAAATGACAGTTCATTTACTGTCGGCTGTATGTCAGAACACCTGTTTGTTTTCCATTTGTATGTTGATTTATTTTGCTAATGAGAAAGCCATTTACTGTTAATTACATGTTATTATAGTTTGACTGCTTAGCTTTGCCTTTGTTCTGCTCTAATGCCCCTAGACTTTTCAGAAACTACTGAGCAATTTGACCACAGCATTGAGGATCACACGTCCAGATTAATTTGGTTGCTTTTTGAATGAAATTATATTAAATTTACAGTTTATTCCCAGTAAGATAAAGTGAGCACAGCATTACATTCTGATCAAAATCTGACAATGCTATTTCACTTCAAGGTCCATTTTGTACCATTTCGAGCTTTGGACCATCTCATATGATGTTCATCAGCAGAAAAAAATAAACAGGATGTCAGGGAATAGATGTTCATACTTTCATTTTTTCCTGAGCCCGTCCATGTTAGCCTAAAGGTTGTTTGACATTCTTAATCTTACAAGTTGATGAAACAAGCTCACCTCAAGCTTAATTTAACTGTTCCGGACATTTTGATCATATCACGTGAATAATGAATAACAAATTGTTTCGATATCTGTGAAGAAGCTTCATGTTATTAAAAGATGGCACATTTGTCGTAAAATTTCTAGTTCATTTAAAGTTGCTACAATTTACTGCCAGAAGCCAACCATCCTTACATATTCATCTTCCTAAACCAATGCACTTTAAGTCAGGTTCTTTAACGGTCTGGTGTGCTCTCCAAAAAAATGCATTCAGTGTCAGTAAAAACATATTCACCCCTGGTTTTTTTCCTTTTACTGCATTCTCTTTTTTTATTATTATTGAGCACTTACAAATGACACGAACAGAGAGTTGACACAACCATACAAGACAAAAGACATCAAATAAGTTAGATGCACAACAATGTATATAAATATATTATTGAAGGAAAAAAGAGAAGAAACTAATTATATATATATATACATATATACATGTACGTACATACATACACATAAAATAATAATAATACAAAAAATAATAATCATATTGTCTGTGAAGATTCTCAGTCAGTTATTCTGGTAGATTAATCGTAGCAACTGGACTTGCTTGAGTTCCTTGAAGACGTTTCACCTCTCATCCAAGAGGCTTCATCAGTAAGAACTGATGTAAGAACTGATGAAGCCTCTTGGATGACGTGTCTTTATCGAAACCACCAGCTGATAAAGACACGTCACCACAGACGTCAGTGACGTCTCTAAGGAAGACTGAAGTGACAGTCCAAACATGTCAAGGTAAAAACAGCTCCTACTTAAAAACTCTCATTGTCTGATAAAAAAGAAACCGTATACCTACATTTCTATCAGTTATATGAATTATTTGTAAATAGAAAATGCAAAGTAAGAGGAGTCATAAGTGTCCTGATGGCCACCCTCACAGTCTCTTTCTTGCAGTTATTCAGTTTTTGAGAACAACCTGCTCTCGGCAGTGTTAAGCACATGCCGTATTCCTTCCATTTCTTAATAATAGATTTAACAGGATTCCAGATTGCTTGGAGTGTTATTTTGTCATCATGGTGTGAAGCCAGAAGTACTTATTCAACAGTGACTGGATCTTCCAGATACAATCACTTGAGACACATTTACTGCACTCAGATGATCTCCATTGCACTAACTGTGATTTCTAGCACTAATTTACTGAAATTGTGTTCAATTAGGCGAGTCATGTTAAAGAAGTGAATCAAATGCAGTCACTTATGTTACATTTTATATTTTTCTGTAGGGCTGCAAGGTGGCTCGGTGGTTAGCGCCGTCACCTCACAGCTAGAAGATCCCCAGTTCACATCCCAGTTAGGACACCCGGGATCTTTCTTTGTAGAGTTTGCATGTTCTCCCCGCGCAGAGTGGGTTCTCTGGCTTCCTCCCACAATCCAAAAACATGTTGAATGAATAATTGGTGATTCTAAATTGTCCGTAGGTGTGAATGTGAGTGTGCTTGGTTGTCTGTCTCAATGTGTAACCCTGTGATAGACCGGCGACTGACTAGACTGGTGTTCCCTGCCTTTGCCCTAAGTCAGCCCCTGCCCCCACGACCCTAGTGAGGTTAATATGGTGTATAGAAAGTGGATAGATGGATGGATGGTTGGATGGATATTTTTATTTATTCAAAACTACTTTTCCACTTTGACCTTAAAGAGTTTTTTTTTTTTTTTTGTAAATTCTTGTTAAAAAATAAAAGTCTAAATAAAGAGACCATGACTCAGTGTTGAAAAGAAATAAAAGAGGGAAACTTCTAAGGAGGATGAATGCTTTTTATAGGTATTTTATTTGTCCCCATATTTTACCTGTTGACGTCAGCTCAGCTATGCATTTTGAGATCAGCATGCATGTTTTTTGACTGACAAATCTTCTTTTCTATGCTGGGTCATTTTGACAGTAGAAAAATCGCCAGGTATAGCCGACATTTTGAAGTAAATCAAACTCCATTTTCCAGATGCAGCCATATCCTGAGCGAGGTGGGTGAGATGAGGGTTTTCCGTCCACGAGACAAGGACGAGATGGTGAAGAAGGTGATTGAGCCCATGGCATGCGACGGCCTGAGGACCATCTGTGTGGCGTACCGTGACTTTTCCAGCGATCCTGAGCCCAACTGGGAGGATGAGAACAACATCCTCAATGACCTCACAGCCATCTGCGTCGTTGGAATAGAGGACCCTGTCAGGCCAGAGGTAGGGGAGTGTGAGATATTTTAGGAATATACAGAGGAGAGTGATGATAAGCAAATGCATTATACCACCTGCTATCAGCAGCTGATGTGCCTTTGCTGTAAGTTTGAAGCAGTGTCACAGAGGTATATAGGGTACAATGTAGCATCTCTTCAGTCCTCTAATGGAATATTATTTCCTAGATCTGTAAGTTATCAGTCCAGTATGTGTTTGCTGTTCTACCCCAGGACACATAAAAAAACACTTTATTGACCAGCTCAAATTTTCTTGGATTTCAACTCCTGGGATTATTAAAGAAATATCTCTCCATTTTGCACAGTTAATACATGTTTTCCCTAAAAAGCACAGATTTGACCGCATAAGCCTTTCTATGGAGTTTAGTTGCATCAGCGCAGCTCCTTTCTTGTGTTCACTTCCTTAGCCGTTGACTGCATTCTCTCGAATATCCAAGACAAATGTCTCCAAAGGGAGACAATAAAGACTAATCTAATCAAATCTAATCTAATAAAATCGCCCCCTTGTTTATATGGAACTTGGTAAAAATGCGTACAAACTGAAAATTTTTAATTTAATGTAATTTCAAGGGGGAAAAAACAACCATATTATTGAACATTTATTGGTTTGATGGCTGTTTTATTACATTAGGATTTAAGCTTTGTACACTGGTGGAGCTGCATGTTATCTCTGTATTGATTCTGATATCAGATTTAAACACACAGAGCTGTGGAAACATAAAGTGGACAAGTAACAAGACTCTGGTGGCAGTAGGAGCCTGCACAGGGAGGGATCATCTGTCATTTGCAGGGCTTGACCCAAGGGTGTAACTAAATGCACAATATAGATGGGACTTCAGACTTCTGACATACGCTGCTCAGCTTTCATACACTGATAATAATTTTAACATGCAACTGCTACTTGTATGTTTTAGTTACAGTAATATGTAATATAAAAAGATTGTGTATTGCAACATTTGAAGTAATAGTAATAATTCTAATAGTAATAAATATGTTGCACTGGGTCCTCCAAAGAACAGATAATGGTTGAATTCTAGACGTATTATACATGTAGCTATATTACTTTATATTAAGCATTGAAGAATGGACCTGCAATTGTTTGATGTGAAAGGGAAGAACTTTAAAAGGCCACATGTGCGAAGAATAAGTAGGCATATTTTATTATCGTATTTAAATTTTATATATTCACACTACAAAACTGAAATAGATTGTGACTCTACTAAATGTATGGTTGTGGTTTGTTTAGTTACTTGGCTGATGAGAATTTTACATCCAAAATAAAATAAGTTCACAAAATATCACTATTCTTGAGTAAAAATGTCTGAGCCACTTTGATATTATCCTCAAGGATTATGCATCCATACCTACTTAAATGTTTGTTGTTTTTTTTTTTTTTATGGTAACGATTTATTTATTTATTTATTTATTTTTAAATATGTGCTTGGAATACAGATCTGGCAAGTTATTTGTAGCAGTGAAAAATGACATTGGCAGGAAAGGGTTTTATTTATCTATGTTATAACCAAGCTTATTAGTCAGAAAACGAAATGTTATGTCTATAACTTCTGTTCCCTGAAGGAGAGGAACGAGGTACCACACATATAGTATGGGATGTCACGCCCCGCGTGACCTGACTGCAGACACCTCTATTCACGCCTTTACGGCAGATGATCTGTGATGACATATGTGAGGCCCTGCCTACACATATAAATACTTGTCATCACAGTCATCCCTCAGTTCGATAGCCACTCTTCACCGAGCCCAGCTGTGCTGCGGGGCAACCAAGTGTTGTACCTCGTTCCTCTCCTTCAGGGAACAGAAGTTATAGACATAACATTTCATTCCCTTTCAGTCGATTCACTCGGTACTACACATATAGTATGGGACATGTATACACGCCCTGCAGAGCAGCTACCGAACCGGAGTCTAGCCTGCAGCACTCTAGTACATGGTATAGACCCAGCAGAAAGGACAGACTGAGCCACCGAAGGAGCTGTCCAAACAATAAAACCACACAAAAGTGTGCGGAGATGACCAGCTACCTGCAGCACAAACATCACTTATATGCACCCCTTTAATCAGGGCCCATGGTGTTGCCATGCCCCTGGTAGAATGTGCCCTCACACCGTAGGGCAAAGGGAGGCTTCTGCTGCCATAGGCCAGGGATATAGCCTCCACAATCCAGTGAGAAAGCCACTGTTTGGGCAGGGCCTTACCTCTGGCTGGATTAGCAAAACAGACAAATAATTGGTCACATGAACGCATACTCTGAGTGCGATCAATATAGGTGCATAGAGCACACACAGGACACAATGAATGCAACCTCCTCTGCTCCTTGGATGCAAAAGGAGGGGGTCAAAAGCTCAAGAGCTTGAAGGCCATAGAGCTGTAAGCTTTACCTTTGGTAAATACACTACATTTGGGCATAATGTAACCTTGGAGCCATCGCAGGCGAACTGGGTACAAGAGGGATGCACCGACAAGGCATGAAGGTCGCCTACTCGCTTTGCAGAGCACAAAGTGAGAAGCAAAGCAGTCTTGTATGAAAGAAAGTACATATCAACAGACTTGATAAGTTCAAATGGAGGTCCACAAAAGGCCTCAAGCACCAGTGACAGATCCCATGATGGGACGCTGGATCTAACCATGGGCCTCAGCCGACGGACCCCTTTTAAGAAGCGCATGGCAAAAGGATGAGCATCTGGCGTCATACCATCAAAACCAACGTGACAGGCAGATATAGCTGCCAAATACACTTTTATTGTGGAGAAGGAGAGACCCTTATCCAGCAGCTCTTGAAGAAATGTCAAAATGTCCACAATAGAGCACTGAAATGGGAGAACATTACGGTTGGCACCACTGCTCAAATGCCCGCCATTTATATGTATGCAGGCCTCTAGTGGGTGAGGCCCGTGCACTCTGAATTGTTGCCACCACTTCAGGGGGCAGGCCCTTCGCTAATAAATTGGACCTTTCAACAGGTAGGCATGCAGCCGCCACAGTTTTGGGCGCAGGTGAATCACCTCTCCTCTTGCTTGAGAGAGGAGATCCCTGCAGACAGGGAGCTGCTCGGGCCTCACTGCAAGCAGACTGATTATCTCTGCGTACAATGACTTCGCTGGCCACCGAGGGGCCACCAGGATCATGGACAGGCCCTGCTGATGCACCCTCTCCAGAGCAGGCAGTATCATTTCCACTGGGGGAAGCGCATACAGGAGCATGTTGGGCCATGCCCAGTGGTGCGCTCCACTTCTGCCTTGCCGAACCGTTCCCATATCTGAGCCACCACCTGTGGGTGTAATCTCCATTCTCTCACCATAGGTCCCCCTCTGGAGAGAAGGTCTGCACCCTGGTTCAAGTGACCGAGAACATGTTCGGCTCTGACAGACAGGAAATGAACACTGCACCCGTGCAACAGAGAGTGAGACAGTTCTAACAGGGGGAGTGAACAGGTTCCTCCCTGCCTGTTTATATAAGAAACCACCATTGTGTTGTCTGTTCTGATCAGAACATGCTGGCCTGTCAGATCTCGACAAATTATGCTGCAGAGCTAAGAAAACCACTAGCAGTTCCAGGTGGTTGATGTGAAGTCTGCACTGAGCGACGACCAGACCCCTCTCCCCGTCGCACAGAGCCTCCCCAACCCTTCAGAGAAGCATCTGTGGACACTACCTTGCGAAAAGACACCCTGCCTGTCAGGGAGCCCTGACACAGCAGGCCGGGATCCCTCCACTGGTCGAGAGCTAGCAAGCGGGACGGTGTTATCGTCAGCCTCCTCTGGAGGTGATGTGATGGACACAGCCGGTAAAAGCAAGTCCAACTCTGAAACGCTTGCATCTTCAACAGCCCGAGCGGCACTACAGCAGTCATAGACGCCATCATGCCAGTCAGCTGTAAAATCATCTGAAGACGCAGTCTGTGTCCCGACTGAAACTGAGCGAGGCAGCGGTAAAACATGACCACCCTGTGCTACCAGAGCCCAGTCATCCAGGTACGCTACGATACGAACTCCTTTCTCCCGGAGAGGAGATAATGCCACCTCGACACATTTGCTGAAGGTGCAGGGGGCGAGTGATAGACCAAATGGCAGTACTAGGTATTCGTAGGCCGTACCTTCGAATGCAGACCTTAGAAACTGCCTGTGGTCAGGGTGTATCGCTACATGAAAGTAAGCGTCTGTTAAATCTATAGTTGTAAACCAATCCCCCGAACCGACCGCAGTCAGAAGTTGTCTGAGCGCTAACATCCTGAACTTGTAAGTTTGTAGACATCTATTTAACACTCTCAAGTCCAAATAGGATGAAGTCCGCCTCCTTTTTTCAGAACAACAAAATAAAGGCTGTACCAACCTTTGTTCGCCTATGAAGCGGGGTCCACTCGTATCGCTCTCTTCTGTAGGAGACTGTGTAGTTCCTCCCTTAGTACCGCTGCTGCCTCGTTCCCTACTAAGGTGTTTACCACCGAGAGGAAACGAGGAGGCCTGAAATGAAACTGCAGACGATAACCCATGGCAATCTCTACCCATGGATAGAGTGCGCCTGCGCGCCAGTGAGAGAGGTGTGCTGCCAGTCGACTAACTTGGAGCACTGTAGGTGGAAGGCTGTTGCCCTCTCGTGTGCCGACAGGGAACGGCTTCCCCTGACTGCACTTTTTTATCTGCTCTGCTTTTTTTTTTTTAAAGACAGAGAATTCTTCATTTGATGCAACCCTTGAACATTCAAGTTTTTGCAAAGAACAGAAGGCACCTTTACTGGGGCATGGAAAGAACAGCAAACATTGTGAACATTTGTCATGGTCACCTGAGAAACACTCCAAGCATCCAAACTGGAGGCTCCCTGAGACAACACAAGTGTATTTGTGTGTATGGGGGAAGTGTGCTTGGGAGACTGTGTTAGGGGAGTGCAGCGACGTTTGGGACTGAACCCCTGAACAGAACATAGAAGCGCCTCTTGGGTGGCAACACATGAGGGGCAGCAGTGTCTCCCTGCT